TTAAGATATCATCCTGCGACAGCGTCCCATTTGTCTTCAACCGGTGAATTTGAACCTTCAACTATATCCCAAAGTTCTATAATTGATTCATCGATGAATCACGCAGCAGATTCCATGGCTTCGCTCCAGGTTTTTCAACATTTGAATAGAATTTATCAATCGCACTTTCATACAGCTATTTTTATGCGTTATCTAATACAATGTTAGTGTCACATCAAGTAAAATAGTGAATTTGAAAAATGATACACTTGATGAATTTTTCAACAAAAATAAAAAAATAATCTCACACATTTGCTGATGTTAAAAATTAGAAAATTGAGTTGAAATAATTTTGCGATTCGACCTAAATTAATCTCAAGAATCAAAATTAATTTTTCACTCCAAATTTACAGCAAGTTATGGCTATGCAGCACTATCCAGCGGCACAGTTCTCCCAATATCCCATACCTTCGCCATTCGCAACAGCGACTGCCGTAGTTGCATCTCAAAGCGCTGCAGTCGCTGCTGCTGCGATGCCAATATATCCATTATCAGCTCAAACTACAGGTCGCATCATTATAATCATTCAAATGACTGTAACTTTTGATGATGATGCATATAATATTAAAAAAGCACAGCACTATTTCAAAAGCTCATAAAATGATGCTTTCAAATCGTGTTAGTAATCAACGCGCTCAATCTTTGCCGAAGACTATTAAAAGTTTTAAAACATCAGTGAAAACTAGAGTCAAATAGCAGTTGAAAATAATTTTTCTTAGAGCTCTTGACTTAAAACTAAACAAAAAGTATTGAATATCTATTTCAAAATTCAATGTTCCTGATTAGTTAGTAAAGTTGAACCTGCAATTTATAGCTTCCATATCATTTGCTCTGATAAAAAATGACCTCAGTAAAATCACAATATTAGTTGTCATAAATTTATTTAAACTTTAAGATTACATAAAAAATGAATGATTTGGTAAAAAATCAGATAATTTTAGAATTGGAAACTGATCCGCGGGAATTAGAGCGATTTGCGGAGCATTTCAAGCAAAGGCGAATCAAATTAGGTGTGACTCAAGCAGATGTGGGCAAAGCTCTTGCGCACCTTAAAATGCCTGGCGTGGGATCTTTAAGTCAGTCTACCATTTGTCGCTTCGAAAGTCTTACCTTATCACACAATAATATGGTGGCGCTGAAGCCGATATTGCATTCTTGGTTGGAAAAGGTTACATTTAAAATCATTTGCAATATTATTTTGATCCAACTTTACGTAGTGCAGTCAGATATAATGCATGTATATATAGTAATAATTAACTATATATTGTATCAATTAACTGCCAATTAGAATCAGTGAAAATTAGTACGAATTAATTATCAAGTCCTTACGTCTGATTACTTAGTAATTAAATTACAATTATTTTGACTCTTACTTTATGCAATTATCTGAAAAAATTTGACAAGATTTCAATCAAGTTTTGATTACTTGTGTTTAAATTTTTGATTAATTTAAAGATTAAAAATATATGGGATGATTTATAAATAGTTTCATATTATCTAAAATTTATGCATCATACTTGTAAGTTTTGTATGATTAAATTTGTTACGTTGTGAACCTGATTTCTTTACGCAACTTTAATCAGGCTGAAGAAGCAACAAAGACAAAAGATGTGGCAGGTGTTGCGCAAGGTATTTTGCCAAATACAGATAAGAAGAGGAAAAGAACTTCAATTGCAGCACCTGAGAAACGTCTTTTAGAAGATTATTTTCGGTAACTGAAAATTAATTTACTTAAAATTCATTCAGTGCTCCGGTCTCCAAGATTAAAAAAGATCAGCTTTTCTAAATTACCGTAATGTTTATTTGTATGCAAATTTACATTGCAATCGATGGAGTCTGACTGATTAACGTTAAGACATCTGAATTTATACATCGCTGATCATTTAATATGAAGGAGCAATAATATATTCATACTTATTAATAATTGATAATGAAGTTACTTAAAATAACCGAACTTTTATGACAGAATGAATAATGATAATGATAATAATACAATGATATTATTGTCTTGATTTAAAGCAAGCGCACTGATTAGCATTTAATTTTTTGATATTATCGCCATCAAGATGAATTATTATACATTTCACAGACAGCAGCCCCGGCCAAGTGGTGAACGTATATCAGCGATAGCTGACAAACTGGACCTAAAAAAGAATGTTGTTCGAGTATGGTTTTGTAACCAAAGACAGAAACAGAAAAGGTCAGTTTCTTTTTTGCACTTCTCAAAAAGTTATTCATGTTTCCCGAGAAAATTTAACTAAGGTGATAACAAGAAACGTTCAATCAAATTTACAACCAAACATTACAAAGTCTGACATTGCTGCAACGACGTAAAAATATGATTGCAATTTTGTTAACTATATCAACTCATAGTAACAATTCAAACTGTTACTAATTTGATTGGTTATTTTCGGACTCTTGAAAACGAAAGTAAAGGATATAGCAAAATATGCGTAAATTCCGAAGCAGTGTACGGTATTATGCAAAGCTATGTGTAATCTATGATTACATGCAAATTGCAGTACTATACATTATCGTAATCGTGCAGCTGCCGTACCGTACACCAATCCATCATCAATTTTGTAGATGTCGAAATCAAAATGTGAGCACGCCAAAAATGGTTGCTGCCAGCATCAAATGTTCGCCATTTTCAAATGGTTATTTAGATTGAAAAAAAAACGATAATATTACTTCAGCAATGTGTTGTTCCACTTTGTTAGTTGTTATATATGTATAGCTGTATAATAAAGTAGTAATAATAACAACGATAATAAAATGATGACAGGAGTAACACTGACATGCTCACCTCCTTAATACCAACAGAGTCATCTGAGAAAACTTCTTTCTCAAACTGTAGTAACTCTGTAACTTAGCCATCTGCTCCCTTGAAATGCAGGAATCAAAAATTTAAAAAAATATCATCAAATATCTGCTGCTAAACGAATGCTTCGTCTAAATTTCAAAGGAAAATGAACCATTCCTTTCCATTTTGTCAACTACACCACTAGTTAGTCCTCCGATAAAATTGGCAGTAATTAACTTGGTATTTTAATCCAGTAACTATTTATTTAAAATGAAGTAAAAGATACAAGGCACCCATGGGATCTCTAAGTTATATTCTGAAATATCGGTAACCTTCCTCTTCAACGTTGAACTCAGTCCTGTAAGTTGAGGCATACATGCCTTCATGAGCAATACAGCTATAGAATGCCATTTATCTTGTTATGTTTTCCACTTCAAATTCAAACGGAACTAAGTTACAGCATGGCTGCTCAATTTTTAACTTTTCATGCACCTCGAATAAGCTCTTGATTCACGAGCTATAAGGAATCTGAAAAATGAATTATATGCTCAAACTTCTGTTTATGTAACTACTTGATTTTGAAACATTTTATGAACTGAACAAAATGAAGGAAAATATAATAATTCAAACAACGGACAAATTTTATGGATAACTTTAACACTCGACTGAAGCATCTGCACCACAGATTTTCAATACATTTCAAACCTTTACTATCCAAAAATGTCACAAAAACAGACCAGCAAGTTACAACGCTTTTCTAGGTCGACTTCATTTAACTTAAAAATTCTCCGGATAAAATCACCATCAATCATTTCCAATATATTGAGATTTTTATGATATTTAGCATGCAGAAGACATCTCTCAACAAAAAAAAACTATCTATTGTGTCGAACATCCACTTCTTCGTTATTTCCCTTCGTGTTGTCATTCACATTTTCCCTCATGATGCCTTTTTACTTTTTATCCCAAACCATCCGAACATCCTGACTTCTGACTACTGACATCATGCTCCGAAAATTGTTGAGTATCAAAAACATTCCTAGATTGAAGAACTTTTTTCTCTTCTTCCGAATCTTCATATGCCTGATTTACACGCGTCCTCCATCGATTTTGTCCATACGCTTCAACCACTCCGCTTATGTTTTTTCGATTCACTTCTTTCTGCTCTTGACTTCCTTCCGTCAACGTGCTTTCGTTATCTGTTTCAAACTCATTATCTTCTTTTTCGAATGGACTTTCTTTAGCATCAAAATCATCTGAGCTGTAATTGAGCAAGCCTAAGTATTTGCAAAATCAATCTCATATTTAAAGTTTAGGTGATAATTGATGGATCAAAACAAGGACATTTTCCTCTCTAATATATTGTAATATAAATTCATTTCGCATTTTATGTACTTTCATAACATTTCTGAATAACTTAGAATACTTACGTACTTAACACCTTAAAATTTAGTGAAGTAGCAGATTTGTATAAAAATAACCTGTAGTCTAAATTAAAGGTATCTAAATAATCATCGCAGGAGTCATCATATTCATCATCATAACAATCGTATGAAAAAATTTTAGTTTGTTTACGAAGGCCTTCATAATCTGGTTTTGCAACAAATTTATGAGGTTCTGCCTCAACAAATGCTTCTTTCGATAGTAATTTCCTGGAAAATCTGCTTGAGCTGTAGAATCTATTTAAAAATTGTTAGAATTAAAATAAGAAGTGACTCAGTCTAATTTGGCTAGATTATCGCATTGCATGAATGCAACATAACACTTTTTTCTGACCTATTATTATCCATATTCATTTTGCATTTCTCAATCAGCGTGTTCATTCGTAAATTACATTCCGCCAATTCATCCAAATTAAAATCCTCAGAAATAGATTCACTCTCAACTGCTTCCGGTGATTTCATACGAATTACTGAGCCCGGTAGGATGTTACTCATCGTTACAGCATTACTAATACTTTTAAAATTGTCGAAATCTGCAGAATATAATATTTTTGCAGTAATATAGGAGAGAAGAGAGATTGAAGCTTGATTTAATATTAAACAAAAAATTTTCTGCGTTTTATTGTTTTCCTTTAGTTTTTTTCTTTAATTTCAAACTTCTTGAGATATATCGCTTGAAGTTTAAAACAGACTTCTATTTCATGATTTTTTCTTGAACTTTTCGTCATAAGAAATATTAATGATTAATTACTTTGCATAGGACTAGGACAGAGAGAATGGCAACATGAAAAGAAGGAAAACAGTGGAACTCATTAAAAATTCATTGCAATCTTCAAATGGATGAATGGATAGATAAATAGCCTTTAAAAACCACGAAGCATTTAGTAGCTAGCAAATATTCAACATAAATGTATTTGTGCCTTTTCCACCATTTCTTCTTCCTCCCCACCATTTCTCATTCCTCATTCTGCTAATTAACATTTACTAAAACCATGCAGCAAAAATTGGATAGAAGAAATTGACACTTGAAGTAAATTTGCGCAGATGAATAATAATGCTCACAATACTTGTCTTATATATTATATCAGCTACGAAATAAATATCTCAAGTCTAATTATTTTTGAAATTTTCAATTTCGTTAATACAGCAATATATTCACAAATCGCATGTGATAATTTTGCATGAACAAATTTGAAAGATCTCCTAATTACAATGCCTACAAAGTTTTAAAAATGTTATAGAATTTTCTCGTTGCACAATGCAAATTTCTAGCTAATGAAAAATATAACTACCTCAGAAACACAACACTGACAATGACTTTAATGCAATGGGAATAAGGTAGCGTAATTGGCACTTTCTTACATTATTAACCAGAAAATGAAAATTAATGAAGTCAAAAAATAAGAAAAACTAACTCATAGACAAAATCACAAGAATTTTAATAAAGGCTGGATAAGTTTGAAAGTTTGAACATTAAAACTATGATGGTGTAACTATGGAACTTTATATCAAGATCATACAAAAACATACCAGCGCCATTAGAAATCGGATAGCATTCACTGGTGTGTGCTGATATCGCTCTTGCTTTCAAATCAACTGAGAACAAAGCTCGTAAATCAAGTGGCAAATCATTGAATGATATTAAGGTATTTTTCGTTTCTTGCATTTTATAACCGAAATGTCGCAAACACAACTGAAATAAAAATTTAAACTTATTAAGAAGTGCAATTTAAGATTTTTATCTTTCCAGAACGTACTGCTAATTTGGTAATGACTGATGTCATGACTTTTACGTTTATTAATACATTATTCTAATGCTAATAGAGGGTGAAATAAATTCTAAACTGCATAGTTTTATTAAAAAATTATGCAAGCGGACTGCTTCAACTAATTTCACATTCTATAGTTCCAGCACGATGTTTTGCGCAACAGAGAATGCACTAGCAAAAAAAAAACCATTTTTATTATCTATTTTTAGAAATCAAACTTCATAATCACAAACTCACGTGTACAAATTCAGGCGATAAGTGGGGCAATGATTGGATGATTTCGTCAGTTAATTTGCGTACTGTTTCATTTAAAGAACACCCGAGATTCTATGAAATATATTAATTTAAGTATAAATGTCTGTACAAATTGACTTTTTAAAAAAAAGCACAATAAGTAAGCAATAAGAGGCAATTAGATGCACAGGTTACCACAAATCATCTCCAAAAAAATCAATTTCCATTGATTTATAAATCGTGAACCATCATAATAGTTCTAAATTTCTAAAAGAAGCATTATACATCTTCAACAGTGAATTAGTTAAACTGATAGAATCGGATAACGTAAACAAAATAACAATCAGCAACTTACAGCAAGCAATCCACGAGACTTCAGTTGTTCTAAAATACGCTCATTCTGTTTTAGCGCAACTTTCTTGAGAGCAGCAACCACGAAAGCTTGTTCTTCTCTTTCGAGTAAGTCAATAACTTCCTCAACGGGGTACATGATATTATAATAAAAAATGAATCTGAAAAAATTTTCACGGGCAAGAAAGGCATTAAAAGCATACCATATATTAGGCAACTCAATGAGCAAAAAAAAGCAAATCAATTACTTGAATGAAATGATATGGCTAACAAATTAAACAACTATATATTTATACATAATTTTTACATCACCCGTGGATTGCTTGCTGGAAATCTCAATCGTGTTATATTCTTTCTTTGATTAACAAAGATGTCAATTCTTTGCACACTGGCAAAAAAAGAAAAATAAACTCGGAGAACAGAACTTTCAAAATGTTCCTAATCAAGATTAGAAAAATAAACTTAGTACCTTTCATAATTTAAAGAATTAGAAATAATAAAATATAATTTGTTTCCTGAAATGCTGAGCTTGAGAATAGCATTGAAAAGTGCACAACCTGAAGCCAACAGACCATCAGTGGATGCCACTAGCGGCCTAAACTTAAAAGTTGCAATGTGCTTAGATAACGAAAAATAATTAAGGAAATGACTGATTGTATCGATAAATCATAAAAAAGAAAATTTACAAAAATAAATTGGTCAGGAAATTTATCAAAACACTTTCATGGTTTTATGAATTTCTTCGTCAATAATTTAAGATATCACATTAGGAAGATTCACCAAAATGCTTCTCTCGATTCTTCAGCCATATTCATTATGTTATCTATACAATACCGACCTGTTACGTGTTCCACAAAAATAATTACACTGAAATTTTATTATTAAGCTTTTAATTAATGTAATGACTGCAAGTATATAAGGTTTCGGTGCACTGATCGAGTGCTTTCTCATATTTTTGATATAGCTTTTGTCAACAACCTCACCTCTTTTCCATTTGTTTTTATTTATGATTCCACACTCCGATTTTTATTAAGATATATA